TATTATATTTTTAAGTTTATATTATTTGCATATTACTAATCACATAACTACATGTTATAATAAGCAAAGTTGATATAACATAATATGTAAAATTACATGAAACAAATAATATGACATATAAAACTACTCCAATGCATTTATTGAAAAAATAGAGTATCAAGTAGGACATATGAGAAAAAAAAAAAGAAGGAATAAAGAAAAGTACGTTATATAACATGAAAGAAAACTAAAAATATATTTTGCACGTGAACTTATTTACATAATACCAAATATTAAATTATAAAAATATATAAATATTTTATTTTTATTCATATGTATATTTAATTTCTAGATTAAAATATTTAAACACAGTAATAAGTTGAATAGAAAAAATAATAATGTTAACTAATATCAAATTTCATTTTATTATACTATGAATTTATAAATTATGTACTACATAGTTTAGTGAAAAGGTGCATTTCATTGAAGTAAAGTTTAACAACTATTTTCAATAATTTTTTTATCGAAAAAATCAATTTTTAAAAGTAACAAAAACTTATAAACTAAAATATAATGATAAAAAACTACTCTATATTGAAAAATGGATAACATGTAAAAATTACATGCGAGGACTTATTGCTAAATATATGATATTGATTGTTTAAGATATCTTTTTTATCCAATAAGTATAATTTATTGGATATAAAAAATTTTGGTTTTGTTCGGACTTTTTTGGTTTGGTTTGGTTAATTTTGAAAAAGGTGGCATGGTTAGTTAGTGAGTATATTAAAATAATACTTAAAATAAAATGATTAAAATTGATTTGATGTAAAAGTACGAGAAAGAAGATGTGAAGTGATGATTATTTAAAATTATGTAACTTGATGAATAGTGAATTACATTTTATGTGGTGTGTAAGAATGATTGATTGATATTATTTAATTATATTGAAAATATTGATGATAGTGGAGTTGAGTTAAAACTGAGTTTAAAAAAAAAATACTGAATTAAATGTTTGAATTTTTTTGAAATGTTTTTGTATCCAAGCATCCTCTAATATACATAATAACAAATAAAGTTTAGTTAACAAAAAGTAATTGAAAATATTTGTCAAATAAATTATAAAGTATGTCAACTTTGAATAGGGATTTTTTTTTATTTAATTACAAAATATCGCATTTGATACATGTTTCCATCATGATGAATTACATAAAATATATTGATATACTTTTACCGAGTTAATATAAAGATATAAAATATTTTTTAATATAAATGAATAATATATAAATACCTTATAATCTCTGAAATATTATTTCAAGTACACAACTTATTTTTTAATTGTCAATATAATAAAATAACTCTTTTGATTTTTTCTTTTTTTTGTAAATCACTCATGAAACGAATACATGATTGCGCCATAAACTGAATATTAAGATTTTTTATGTATGGAAATATAATCTAAATAAAATATAAAATGATATTTAATAACAACTTTTACATATTTAGTGATTTATAAATTTTGTATTTGTTAATTTTTATATGATTTTTTTAAATGGGATTTGATGTATTAACAATAAGATTGTCATTTTTAAATTTTTAGAATATGCTGTATCAATAGTTTATTTAAAAGACACTTTATTTAATCCTTGTTCTATCATATTTTGAAGAGTGGAATAATTATATACAATACACAATTGTTTCAAACTCATATGACGTTATATATTTTTTGCATTTATTTTTTATGTTGAGTCTACAACTAAATACATAAAAGAGAGAAGATTCACTCAAAATTTTTGTGACTTCTTTTGAAGATTGTGCAATTGCTATTTTGATCTTAGATAAACTAAGGAATTATACATAACCCTCGCGCAGATATGAACTTTCATTTATCTAGAATTTTTTCGTGATATCATTTATAATTATTTTCATTTATAATGTATCTTAAAAGTAAAAGTTATTTCTAAAATATTTTGAAATTCTTAAACCATTTAAGGTCACCAAAAAAACTTAATAAAAATATGGGTTACAATATGTATTAATTAGTATTCTTGAAAAATAATAGCAATCACTTAACATTCCAAAACAATCATTTATTTAATT